CCAACCTTGTTTATAGCCACCAGTGTGCTAGATATAATGCGTGGTACATTTGACTATATTGAGGACCAGAATAAGGACTGGGAGTACATGAATAAAGATGACAGATAGACTGATTGACTGGTATATGTAATAGGTGTCCTTTGCCATAAGGTTCACATCTTCAGATTTGTCAACAGGTTTTCTCATGCATTGCAGAGATGGTCTGAGTATCAGAATGCAGAAAACCTGACATCCCTAATGGTAAAGATTATGAGTGACAATTTGAGTGATTTATTTACATAATACCCGCATTTGATAGACTCGGGAAAATTAATACCAGGATTAAAAACTTTTAATATCGGGATTAAAAACTTTTCATATCGGGATTAAAAACTTTTAATACTGGGATTATCGGGATTAAAAACTTTTAATACTGGGATTTCCAAAGCACTTGGAAACAATTAGATCTTCTGACATTTTAACTTTTTAACACAACAATCCTTATTCTATTTTATAGATTTTACTGCATGCATTTTAACTAGTGGTGTCAATTTACAGCAAAAATCATTGGTCGATTAACTGAAGATTTGACGGTTAAACTCGGTTAACTGACAAAATAATTACTCAATGATTTCAAAGAAGGATTTGAAAAATACATAAATTCCCCAGGATTAATTCTATCGGAAATAATTTGAAAAATGATTAATCCGTGTTTATTTCTCAAATTCGTCAAGCTCTACCATATTGGTTTCACAGTTACACTACCCTTGAGTTACATACCACATCGGTTATCCTTTAGTTTCACTACAATAAACGCGAAATAATAAAAATAGCACTCGATTTTGGTTTGTTTGCAATACACGATGACCCACTTAATTTTCCTCCGCATATTCTTTGCGCATGAGAGTAAAAATCTACTTCCTGTTTATTCGTATCCAGGAAGTAAGTATAAAATTGTTCAAAACAGTTCCCACAAATTCTTCTCATGTGCCATAGTCGTGCTGTTTTATTGCATAATTTACATTTCAATATAGATATAAGGTATCTATGTATCATTTTCCTTCAAATTGGTGGAATTAACACCATATTTAAGTGAGAACACACCTTCATTGGAGCAGACGTTTTGTACAATATTCAATGACTTGCCGTTGATATAAATTTGATAGCCAGTGGTTTATCACATATCAATATCCTGTCATCATGCCCTAGAGAGATTTTAGATAGCAATTATCCTATAGTTTGAAGCTATTTGATAATGTAGAAAATGTTTTGTAAGGTAACTTCTGCCTAATTTTTGACATGTTATAGTCCATCACCTTTTTGTAGATGTCTTGCAAGCCTGTGTCCGAGGTCACACCTACGGGTCTCCGACCTGTGTCTACACCTAATTATGGATCTACAAGCAGGTACTGCTATGCAGTTGGCTGTACCAACAGTGACTATAAGCTAATAAAGTAGAGGAAAATGTTCTGCAAGGAGCATGGGTGTATGCAGCTGCATTGCCCATGCAAGGAGCCTTTTGAGTATGTATTTTTCTCATATACATTTACACCAATGAAAACACAATTTATGAGAAGGTTCCATGCTGGCCCCCATGTGGGACCAAATGTGATATATGTGGGCGATATTAGGTGAAATTTCGACGTAAAATTCGATCTTTTTCCTTTCTAGAACCACATAGACGTGAATATATCAGATAAAAAGTTTCTTTGAGATCGACTTTTACATATGACAAGGTGTATACGATCAAGTATTAATGTTAAGCGTGATATTCTAAATAATAACTAGAAATTTGGCAAAATATAATTTCATGATCGTATCTCCCAGTAGGGTTTGTCTTATTAAATTAAAATTAAAACCAACACATATACTTTCGAAGTAACATAAGGATTACAATATTTCTGATCAGGAAGTTATTAACTGAAACTGACACGTGAGCGGCTGACACTTGGAAATGGATGAGTCTAGGAATACATAAAGGATTATAATGTTTCTGATTGCGTTTTTGAAAGAATTGTGTGACGTATGAAGATTAACTGGATCCAATTTTGACTGCTGGTTGGTAAATAATTAGGGATTCATTTTTAGAGCCAAAACTATCGAGCCAGTCACATTGCTTCAGCTTGTCATGTTACCCTGGCATTTGAGAAAAACAAACAGATTAAGAGAAATTAATAATACAAATAGGATTAAGTATTCACGGTCAACTAATTTGAGTGAAAATTTCTTACTCGAGTAAGCTACTATCGGCGGTTAACCATTAACCGGTTAACCATCGACAGCCCTAATTTTAACAGTAACATTTTTATTATTAACTTTTTATTGTAATTTTATGCTGGGGAATAAAGCTTATTTTATTTATGATTTTTGTTAAAGTATAGTAAGTTGATGATCGTTCAAAAATTACCCTATTACAGTAAGTTGACGCATGTTAGACACCATACTATCGCCCACAAAGATCGATCTTCAATTACTTCATTATATTTCCGAATTTAATGTTGCCGTTTCTGTTTTACATTCAGCAATCAGCAACTTTATATCCACGGCAATATTTCATGTTATACAGTATGTGAAGGGGATATGGGCACGAAAGTGTTTTTTGTCAACGATGGGGAGGCGTTTTCTGAGACATGGGGAGGTAGATTTTCAAAATTGGTAATGAATTGTTATCTTTGACTTATATGTAAATATATTTCAGTTTGAATGTTAACCATACTATGTATTATTACTTTGTGTACCACCGAACGAAATTTGCACAAACCGAAGGCTATCGTCGGTTAACCATTAACCGGTTAACCATCGACAGCCCTAATTTTAACTGTAACATTTTTATTATTAACTTTTTATTGTAATTTTATGCTGGGGAATAAAGCTTATTTTATTTATGATTTTTGTTAAAGTATAGTAAGTTGATGATCGTTCAAAAATTACCCTATTACAGTAAGTTGACGCATGTTAGACACCATATTATCGCCCACAAAGATCGATCTTCAATTACTTCATTATATTTCCAAATTTAATGTTGCCGTTTCTGTTTTACATTCAGCAATCAGCAACTTTATATCCACGGCAATATTTCATGTTATACAGTATGTGAAGGGGATATGGGCACGAAAGTGTTTTTTGTCAACGATGGGGAGGCGTTTTCTGAGACATGTGGAGGTAGATTTTCAAAATTGGTAATGAATTGTTATCTTTGACTTATATGTACAGTAAAACTTGTGTATAGTGAACATTTTTTTGCCAAGAAAAAATGTTCACTGTAGGTAGGTGTTCACTAGAGAGAGGGCAATTTATACAGAAGTCAGTGGACTATGTGCGCAAGAAGGGTGTCCACTAGAGACAGGTGTTCACTAGAGAGAGGTGTTCACTAAGACAGGTTTTACTGTAAATATATTTCAGTTTGAATGTTAACCATACTATGTATTATTACTTTGTGTACCACCGAACGCTTAATTTGCACAAACCAAAGGCTATCGTCTGTGTTATCTTTGACTTATATGTAAATATATTTCAGTTTGAATGTTAACCATACTATGTATTATTACTTTGTGTACCACCGAACGAAATTTGCACAAACCGAAGGCTATCGTCGGTTAACCATTAACCGGTTAACCATCGACAGCCCTAATTTTAACTGTAACATTTTTATTATTAACTTTTTATTGTAATTTTATGCTGGGGAATAAAGCTTATTTTATTTATGATTTTTGTTAAAGTATAGTAAGTTGATGATCGTTCAAAAATTACCCTATTACAGTAAGTTGACGCATGTTAGACACCATATTATCGCCCACAAAGATCGATCTTCAATTACTTCATTATATTTCCAAATTTAATGTTGCCGTTTCTGTTTTACATTCAGCAATCAGCAACTTTATATCCACGGCAATATTTCATGTTATACAGTATGTGAAGGGGATATGGGCACGAAAGTGTTTTTTGTCAACGATGGGGAGGCGTTTTCTGAGACATGTGGAGGTAGATTTTCAAAATTGGTAATGAATTGTTATCTTTGACTTATATGTAAATATATTTCAGTTTGAATGTTAACCATACTATGTATTATTACTTTGTGTACCACCAAACGCTTAATTTGCACAAACCAAAGGCTATCGTCTGGTTGTGCAGGAAAATGAGCAATTTTGTCAGTGTTGACACATTTTATTCTTAAAATCAGTAGCTTTGGTACCATTCTATGAACAAACAGTTACATTGGTAAAGTATTCACAACATGTGCGAAAAACAAGCGTGTAAAGAGTCTAAATAAGTTTTAATTGGCCAGAGAAATTATTTTTGAGTAAACCATAAGGAGGTATCAAACTATTCCAGTTGACAACAAGGAAGGGTTAAAAATATGATGGGGAAGTGCAGAATACACTGATGGTTAACAATCTGGGAGTGTAGAAAAACGTATTATGACATGGTACACTAGGGATTGCACATACGTTACTTCTGATTTGATATGTCTCTTGGTATTATGAAAAATATGCTTTCAAGAATACAACTACATGTATGTATACATAGGTCAATACTTGGAATATAAATCTGTTAAATGTTTTTAGTAGATCTGGGTAATGCATTGTTGCACAGAATTCTCAAGTTGTTCAGAGAAGATATTACTTCAGTGACCATTCTCTGTGACAGATATGACAGACTCTTTCTCTCTATTAAGACATGCGAAAGACAAACGAAGAAAAGGGGGAAAACAGAAGGAACAAATTATGTGATTTTTGCATCAAGAAATGTACCAAATTCCAGATTTCTAAAAAATCCTGCGAACAAAGCAAATCTGGTCCAGTTAAAACAAACAATATAAACCTGGCCAAGAAATCAGGAGGATTTGAACAGAGGATCAAGACAATGAAGGTAACAGCAATAAGTTGTACTGAAGAGCCTCATCTGTCAAAGAATCATGACGAAGCGGATACAATGACAATATATCACATGCTTCATCAGCTTAAACATTAAAATGTGATGATACAGATACTACTTCTTTATTATTTTGTATCTGAAGATATGACTGCAAACACTGATGTGTATATGAACAGTGGCTGTAGAAAGGAGGGGTTGGTTCCTATACATACCATAGCACAACGGCTTGGCCTCTGGTTTTGTAAAAGTTTGCCAGCCATTGATGCTCTCATTGGGGTGTGATTCCACATCTGCGATACATGGTTATGGCAAGAAGACAGATTATTCTAAACTCAGACGCCATGAAAAGGCATTTTATAACTTGGCATCTTCAAGACTTAAGAGAGACAATGACATGTTTTTGCCTATCTGTCATCAATTCATCCTTCTGTTCCATGGTGTTAAAGCATCAAATCAAAACTCCTTGGCAAAAATGTCACTAAATGAGATTAGGTTCAAACAAGCTTCTACCACTGACAAGCATCTTCCCTACCAACAACAGAAAATGCCTTTCATCAGAATGTCTTATGTTGTCAAATACAAATTCAAACAACAACTGAACACCGTTGGTAATGGATGTTTGTTCCCAAATATGATAGCTAGTGAGCAGCCCCAGTAGAACTAACGAATGTGACGTATCTATTTTGCAAGGACATAAATTGTACCATGACAAGAAAGTTTCCATGCCTTGCTGCAAGATTATTCTGAAGAAAACAAAACCAACAAAGATTCAGAAATAGATAAAAACAAAATGAACCACTTGATAATAAAGACAGTTCTGACTATTCTGAGAGTGAAGATAAATTTGAAGAATCTTCCCAAGCAAAACAGCTATATAAGAAAGGGGATTTTTGCTTTGATGTTAAGATATAAAAAAATAAGGACAAGAAAATAATTCAACACTTACTTATTTGCAAAGACCCTAGATTTTCATCATCAACTGATTTGCACACTATGTAGCTGAATATGAACAAATACAAAGTAAAATAAAATGACATTATGAAAATCCAAATTGCAATCATTGAATGGGAATCATATAACTGCTGCAGATGCTAAAGATCCTTCTACACTGGCCAAAACAATAAAGTATGACGTGGGGTACAGAATGTTTACAAATATCCATGAATCCCCTGCTGCATGGAAGCAAATGTAACTTGATTGCCTTGTAAAAATCCAGCAGTTAGGTACATGTACGTTTTTCATTACATGTCTGTAGCAGATATGTATTGGGGTGAAATAGTACAAGTTGTGGTAAGAATGTATAGTGAAATATTCACATAAAAACAAGTGCAAAGTATGGATTGGAAGACAAAATCCTCTTGGCTTAAAAGAAATCCAGTGATTGCAGCAAGACATGCTTATTATATGTTTCACTAAATGCTTGGCAAAATCATTTTAGCTCCACCACATCACATTGGTGAAATATTAGACTATGATTTCAAAAAGGAAGCACAGAGTAGAGGTGCAATTCACTTCCATGGGATGTTATGGACTAAAGATAGCCCAAAATATGATGAGGACACAGATGAAGAAATAGTAGACTTTGTTGATAAATATGTATCCTGTAAAGTAACATCTGTAGATGAAGATGAAGAGCTACATACATAAGTCTCAAAGCTTCAAACACACAAACAAGACATTAATTTTCAAGATGAATGTTAAATATATAAATCATGCTTTTTGTAGCTTTTTTGAAGTAAGGGCACCATTCTTGGTGAGGTTGGCTACATGTGACATGACACAGCACATGTAAATCATTCTGTTGTAAAAATTCTAATAATTATTTATATGGACCGATGTTTCGCCTCTCCCTGAAAAGGAAGTTCTCCAAGAGAGCGCGATGTACAAGGTACATACCTCAGTCAAAGAAATCTTGAAATAAGCAGACTAAAAGAATTCACAACAATTAAGAAAGCAAGGACACTTACCTTGTTTTTAGATTGATCATGGCAGAGGGGAGTTTCTCAAGTAAAAAGGGTACCATTCTTTGAGGTTAGATACATGTGACATGACACAGCACGTGGAAATCTCAACCAAAAATTTCCAATAAGAAGGAGGTCATAAGAAGGTATAGAGAAAATGTTAATTAATTTTTGGCCATATATCTGAAACAAGAACCAGGTGATGCTCTGAACCTTTTGAAAGGAGTCCTTGCTTTCTTGGAGGAATTAATCAAAAATGATTCAGATAAAAACTGAGAAAAAAAAATTATTTCACTCGTCAAAAAATCGCACCAAATTTATCATTGTTTGGATTATAAGATTCTAAAAAATATCATACACCTTTATTAACTTCATTACTTAAAATGTTGAGTTCCATGCAAAAATTAAGTGACAAGAAAAATTAATTTTGATTCAACATGCAATAGTGTTAATTGAGCAAGGTCCACTGCCTCTCAGTAACTGTAAAGAATGGCTCAATCAAAGGAAGGGCAGGATATCCTCTAGCATATTTCACTGTGTTTTCAAGACAGAAAACAGTTGAAAAGAAACGACAGACTGACAATTCAATGCTGGTTTCAACTATCACATGGTATACAACTACCCATTCAACTTTTGCTATGAAGCATTGTCTAGCATGGAACCCAAAGCTAAGGAAGCATATAAAAGATTAAAAAAATCATTAAAACATAATTACCTTATATTTCAAGAAAGTGACCTGCGGGGAGATTTGGAACATAATTTTATTGAACGATTTCAGTTATTTTCAAATGAATGCTAAATGAAGCCACTGCTGAGAATTTACCAACTTCTGGTTATGTGGGGGGGGCTAATTTTAGAATGAAATGGCCATTAGTGAAGACATTGCGACAACCATTGGCCAAAACTTATTGTAATGTTGGATTGTGGCAATTTGAAAATTTTAAGACTAAACAGAGATGAGCCCAAACTAGCCACACATGTTATAACTAATATTTATTGGACTTACAGGCTTCAGATTTCCAATCACCCACTTCCCAACAGGCACAGCCACAGATTTATATATTACTTTCAGATTGCTGTGCAAGCCCTCTTCTTATATGGACTCATAACAGAATGTACTAATTTGATTTCAGCACTAACTAATAGACAGTTCCTATATTTCAAGTCATTCATTCAATGAAGAGGACAAAGAATTTCCCCAGTTGGCTATGTCTTTGAGGGCCATTAGGAAACAACAAGAACCAAATCCAAGTAGAGATAGACTACCTATCACATTTGATCTATTACAAAGCATGTGTGGCATTCTACAACATGGTATATTTGATCCATATACATGCGTCTTGATGGAAACTGCCTGTAACATAGCATTCTTTATCAACAATATGAAATTTACACTATCATGCCTTGGCTGCGATCACAGCAAATATAATGGGCATTCTTTCCCCATTGGCGTGAGTACACAAGCTGCAACCGCTCGTCTTGAAGATCATCTCATCAAATCCCTCGGAAGGTGGTCCTCTGATACATACAGGCGATATATAAGAACTGAGGAATCTGTGATTAAAGAAGGAATGCAGGCTTTAGCGATAAGTTCAAGTTCAAAGTCTTACTGAGACTCATATATCACATCGTCACTTGGGACTTTATTTAACACGTGTATTTAATCCAGCCAGTGACCAAACAGTCGAAACGTTGTCTTATCTCTAATTGTAATTAGTGTTATCAGACTTCTCCTTTATCGTTAACGATCATTATGTTATTGAAACATTAATTTACATGTTTGTGCATGGCGTGAAATTAGTTTAGACTTATTATTACTTATTATTAGACTCCAGATGTCAATCTGGAGTCTATTGTTTTTGCCAGTATTCTTCTTCTTCTTATTATTATTATTATTTTTCTTTAAGAGTTTTTTCAATAACTATAAGGTATCCAGTAAAAACCATTATACAGTTCATTTAGGTTCAGTATCTAGTTGGTGGGAAATTGGGTCAAATTTTTATCTAGGTCAAAGGTCAAGAACTAGGTCAAATCTTACATTTTCAGTCTTCTGTCTATTATCTTCGTCGTTATTTCTCGAAACGTCTTCTTCTTTTTTTCATCCTGTAGCTTACAAACAGCCCTTTCATAAGTGTGCCATCCGTTTTTTGATTACTCTTACCGATTTTGAAATATGGCGTCCGGAAAGTAGGTCACACCAAAACGTGCTCCAAATTCAATGTATGAGTTATGAATTAGGAGTAGAATTTTGTCAGGAATCCGAATCTGCAAACCAAATTTCGATCAGATTCCCGGTTCGGAAGTTATGGCGTTTTAAAAGCTCAAAATTTGGTGCCCATGTTAAGTCAATGGGAAAAAAGATTTTTTTGAAGTGAAAAATTCGAAATATAGACTGAGTTCAGCTTAATTTAATGAAAGCCCTCAAAAGAAGGGGACCTCAAAAGCCATCTAGCTTCAAAATTTGGACACCAAAATGCCTAGGTCAAAATCTAGGTCAAATTCAAAGGTTTTCCTTATTTTGGCGATTCTGACACTACACTTCAATTATATTCTTCGAAATTATGTATACATGTAGCCAAGAGTGTGCTAATAGTGTTAGCCTTTTGCCGTCAGAAAGTAATTTGACCCACTTTTGAGATATGGTGTCCGAAAAGTAGGTCAAAATAAAAAATTCTCAAAATTAAATGTATGAGTTATGAATTAGGGTTAGAATTTTGTCAGGAATCCGAATCTGCAAACCAAATTTTGATCCGATTTCCGGTTCGGAAGTTATGGCGTGTCCAAAAAGTAGGTCAAAATAAAAAGTTTCCAAATTTAACGTATGAGTTATGAATTAGGGGTAGGATTTTGTCAGGAATCCGAATCTGCAAACCAAATTTCGATCAGACTCCTGGTTCGGAAATTATGGCGTTTTGAAATTTCGAGAAAAATCGATCTGATGATATCCTGATAGAAAGTCAAGGATTGCAAAGAAAATATTGAAAAATCCATCCATCCTTCCATCTATCATTCCTACCCTATCTGATCCTATCCTAGCCTTCCTATCTATCCTTCTTTCATATTTTTTACTTCCTATCCTCCATATCCCATCCTTTCTTCCTATTCTATCCTATCCTTCTTTTCTATTCTATCCTATCGTTCCTTCCTATTCTATCCTATTCTTCCTTCCTATTCTTCCTTCCTATTCAATCCGCCCATCAATCTTTTTCTGGATGACTCAGCTTATTTTTGATGACTCAGCTTATTCTGGATGACTCGGCTTATTCTGGATGACTGGGCTAAAAAAAGTCTAGATCTGGAGTCTGAAATTGAACTTCGTTCAATTTCCAAAGTCTAGTTATATAAACATTTTTCAATAATTACATCTGGGGTTCCAAGTTCTTTACATTATGCAAACAACTGTTCTTATGGCCATCTTTCATTTACATTCAATCGCAAATGTAATTAATAATTTAGTTGTGCTTCAAGCAAGTTTCATTTATAGTGAACTGTGATTCAAGGTCTTACTTTCATTTATTGGTCACAGTTTTAACGTCTATCATTTAGGTATCACAGCAGTGTGTTGCATCCATGTGATAACATGAGATCTGAAGATAGGCGAGCAAACTATCTTATCCTGTTATCTCTGATGCGAGGTTGCCCGCTAACGGCTGCCCTACCTTATTGATTGACGGAAAATGAATTCATACTTGAACACTTATATCTTAACAGGT